GTGGAATTGGGTGATAGAAAACCTTCACAGTTGATATGTGAAATGAAGAATTTAGCTTCAGATAAGGTAGATGAAGCTTTTCTTAAAACTTTCTGGCTTCAAAGTTTACCCACAGCAATCCCAAGCATTTTCTCTATGAGCAGTGATAATTTAGCCAAATTGGCAACAATGGCCGTTAAAATGTGGGAAATACTATCTGTGTCACATTAGAATGCCACTGTAGCTAGCTTTAGAGATGGCAATGTTTTAGTTAAACTACAAGAGCAGATTTCAGAGTTATCCCTACAAGTTAGCGAGCTGAATAAAAGACATGATTCTAGACGTCAACAGTTCAGATCCCACTCTAGAAGTAATTATATTAATAGGCATAGTAGCAGAAATGAAAGTTCACCCACCGGAAAACTAAATCCCCGACTCTAGCAGATGACAGAGGGCCAAGGGGTAGAATTGTGTCGTCTTTTTATTCATGACAAAAAGAGCACCACCCAATTTTTAATTGATACTGGCGCCGAAACTTCCATGATTCCACCATTATCGAAAGAAAAAAAGAGCTGTTGCAAAGCTGGAACTCTTCACTGCAAATGGAACCAAAATTAAGACTTATGGACAAGAATTGCTAAAATTGGATTTGGGACTGAGAAGAGCATTTGATTGGCCTTTTGTGATACCTGACATTAATAAACCAATAATAGGTGTTGACTTTTTTTCCTCACTTTCACATTTTGGTTGACAGCAAAAATGGTAAATTAGTTGATGTCATCACTTCATCGTTTTCTATTGGTGACCCCTCATATGGTGTCATTTGGTAACCCTCATATGGTAACTCCATTTGGGCTGTTTGAATTCCCATTCATGACATTTGATTTAGGCAGTGTAGCTCAGACAATTCAGCGATTCATGAATATGGTACTATTAGGATTAGACTTTACATTCTGCTATTTAGACAACATACTAATTGCTTCTGCAAACGAAGAGCCATGCCATAAGCACTTATACACAGTTTTTCAAAGGTTAAATGACTGGTTTATGCATCAATGTTTCAAAATGTATTTTTGGCACTTCTAAACTTAATTATTTGGTGTATGAAATCACAACTGAATGAAGGAGTAAGACTTTCTTCCGACGAAAGTTGATGCCATACTAAACGTACACGAACCTACATCATCCACCGGCTTGCGTAGGTTCTTAGTGATGATCAATTTTTATCACCATTTCATCCCAAAATGTGCCAAGCTTCAACAACCTCTAACCTCACTACTTAGTGGAAGATGTTAAAATAGTAAAACGCTGCTAACATGGACCAAAGATATTGAATATGATATGACACAAGGATAGTAGAACTGAGCAAAATAAGTAGAAGTATGACAGTATAAGGTCAGATGTATATGGTGACCAACCAAGGCTGTGGAATCAGTTTTTATACTTAAAGACTCTGACTCCCTCTATGTAAATATATTCACATGTGTTACAGCTTATTTTTTTTTTTAATATAAAAGAAATAATAGATGCTACAGAAAAAAAAATCAATCACATAGCAAATTATTTATATTAATTAATTTGAGTTGGAGGAACAGCTCTTACTGTTAGGGCTACTTTTAACTTTTCAGGATAGATTTTTATAAGTTCTAAAAGAAGTGTCCAGCAAGAACAATCATATTTCTCTATTTCTTCAAAGGTAAAAATCTTGTTTGTCAATTTTTCATTTTTATACCTAAAGGCTCTTGGTTCTTTATTTTCATTCGCTTTGCCTTATCCTTTTCAATATTATCCAAAAATATTTCTTCAAAAGCTTAATTCATCACTGGAAGAGGATGGTACAGACTCAGTTGCAATGTCTGCAGTTTGGCTGTTCCTGATTTGAACTACTCCTAATTGTTCTGAAAATAATTTCATTTTTAATGTAAAGCTTTATAGATGGCTTTCTTTGCCTTTTTAATTTGTCATCCTACAAAATTCGGTGTTTTGAATCTACATATATTGAGCACAGCAAGATCTCATTGTCTAGCAAACTAGTTTCTCTTTTCTTCATTGAAGAAATGATTCCTTCTGCAATAAGCCCTCCATTTCAGAAAGAAGAAACATCACATTCTTCCAGTCTCATTTCATGTTAATTCTTCAGATTGTAGCATTTTTGTGGCTATATATGGCGTAGAAAGAAGAGTTTCTAATTCTGCAAGATCATTCCACTGACTTTCTGTTAGTGAAACATTAAGGTTATCTACATCTTGAAAAGTTCTTAATTCTAACAACCTCTTTATCTAAGACGCAATAACACCCCGAATAAATACTAATTCAGAAGTCAAACAACAAAAATCAGTGCAAAATTTTTTGAAAATATAACGCTGATTTTTGTTGTTTGACTTCTGAATTAGAACCTCTTTATCATCAAATATGTACTCCCCAATCGTGTTGCTTGATCAATAATGCTTCTTTTCCTGCTCACTTCCTAAGAATGGCATCAATTTGGGGTGTTCTTGCTGCTATTGCAGCTTACTTAAATTTACCAATGAGATTTATAACTAAATAATAATAATGGCAAATAATATCACATCCATCCACCTCCTTTATATTTATACAGTCAAAAGTCGTTAATTCGGACACCCATAATCCGGAATGATCTATAATCCGGACCTCAAAGCTTCAAACTTTCTGTGCATGCGTCCCGTTGACGCATGCGCGTAAGGCCTTTTATGGCTGAGAATATGCTTGTGCGCGTGCGCAAAATACGTTTACAAGTGCGCGTTTAATGTATAACAGACGGTATAAGCTAAGCTAAAATTATTTAATTATCTATTTCAGTTAATGTTGCAGATTGCGTTGTTCCTTAATCTTCGAATTGGATCCAGCTTATTATTTTTTGCAGACTGTTAGAGTAATTTTATAAAAGTAAGCTTGAACTTTCGATTATGTCAAATAGAATTTCTGATATATATATATGTAAATGATCTACAAAGCGAAAGTATGTTTCGAAGTTCATTAAACAAAAAGTAGAATTGCTACAAAAAAATGGATAAAGGCATATCCTTTGTTTATCTAAACTTTGTTTATCTTTAACGCCGCGGCGCCGCGCAATGAATTGGAAGTTGATCTGTCAGCACTATCCTTATCTTCAGGGCAGCTGTTTTTATTTTATTTGGCTTATAATTCCTTATTAAATGTAGTATTTCATCTCGATGTACTCCATCTTTGATATGATTTAAATCAAATTCCTCGTCATTATAATTCACTTCCGATAGTGAAGAAAGTAACAGAGGTTATTGAAAACGAAACAATTTCAGTTGACAAATTAGTCGGTATTCTCGACACAGCAATTATAGGACTTGAACAGTGGAACTTTGTAACTGAACAAAAAATTATGTCTGTTTAAAGAATTAAAGAGAATGTATTGTCACATAAAAAACGAAGCAACTTAAACAACTTACATTGAAAGAAATGTTTAATAAAATAAACAAATAAATATTAAGTTTTTTTTTTTGTGTGTGTGTGTAAATTTTGATACTCTTTAGATCATAATTGTTATTTCATAAATTACGGTTTCATATTTTTAATTTTATAATTTCTGCATGCCATCTTACCAGATTTAAACTGATGATCGATAATCCGGAATCGCCGAAGTCCCGACGAGTCCGGATTAACAACTTTTGACTGTAGTATGTCAATAAAATAGAAAACTATTTATTAATGTATATAGTTCATAAATAAAAATAACTCAGTTTTTCATTAAATTTTTTTTTAATTCACTTTAATTTCATTTCAAATTTAAACTGTCGAACAAAAATTGGTGTAGAAGTTGACATGTTTTTTGTAATTCCAGCTCAGACTCCTTTTACCCCCAAATCTGCCTAACTTCGATTCTGACTCCATGACATATTTCACAGCCCTGGTGGCAACACATCCCATCCAAGCTCCAAAAGTCTTTGATAGGTGATCAAACTTGTGTGAGGTTTCGCATTGTTGTGATGGAACCCTCTTATGATTAACAAGCTCTGGCCATTTTTGGTCATGGCTTCATTCAAATTGGTCAGTTGGTGGCAGTACACTTAGGAGTTCATTGTTATGTTCCTAGGCAGAAACTCAAAAAGAACGTCTTAAAAACCCTACCACACTGAGAACATAATCTTTCTAAGAATGTCTGCTTTCAATGTTGTTTGAGGCAGATCATCCCTTGGTGACCACAAATGTTTGTGCACCACATTGTTGTATATGATCCAATTTTCATCCCCAGTTATCAATTAATTCAAAAAAGGGTAGTTTTTCTCACATTTAATAAGCATGTTGCTTATTTTTATCTGTGCCATCATGCCATCAGAAGAACTTCTGTGAGTTTATCAGGAACCTACACATTGAGTTTGTTATGTATCCCAGTTTCTTCAGAAGATTGTGAACAGTTGAATGATGGATGTTTAGTGTTTCTGCAATCTGTCATTTCATGTAACGATTGTTTAACTCAGTTGATGCTTTTAATTAGTATTCATCAACTTTGGTTGCCCTTCCTGATTGAGAGGCATCATTGAGGTCAAAATCATGAGAATGGAATTTTGTGAATCAGCATTAGCATTCATGTTACATTCATGTCTTTACAGTCATGTTAAGCATTGTCACTGTGAACTTTACGCAACTTTTCATAGGCTTGCCCCATGTTCTTCCTTTTCCTGAAGCAAAACAATAAAATTTGGTAGAAATGCAGTTTTGGGTCTTCCATGTGTTGTCAAACATGTTTAAAAAAAAAAAAAAATACTGAACAAAGGTCAGTATTAATACAGATGACACTCAGCCACTCAGCTATTCATGACTTGATTGCAGGGATGCAAATAATTCCACAAAGTGAACACTTGCTATCTTTACTAAATATGTTTTGACTTATTTGACAACTGAATATAAAATTATATTGAGTCATTTTAAGTCTAATTGTTACTTATATATTGTACATTCTTTTTTTTTAAAAAAAATTCTTACTTTTGTGCTTTTATTTGTTAAAAATTTTCTGCCTTTTATTTTAGTCTGGTGGAGATTTAGAATGTAATGAAAAAATGGCTGAACTATTTTATCAGATGGTTAAAGGTGTTCATGCTGGAATTCTTTCTCTTTCTGAGAATGGTACTGGTTTTAGAAAATTATCAAGTGAGTTTATTATTATTATAATTCCTAGTTAAAATCCTTCCTCTTTATTTTGTATATTTTTTTTTAATATGTGAATGTGTGTAAAAGGGAAGATACATAGTTTATTATGTACACTCTCATTACAAAATATGGATTTTCTGGTTTTTATTTTAAAAAAAGTTTTGGAACTTTTCCGTTTCGCCGGTGCAAATCTCGCCAAGCAGACGTTCTTGGCGACAACATACAATATCCACACAAAAAATGTTAACAAATGTTAGTTCTAAGAATTTTTTATTTTGAAGGCATAAACATTTTAATATCAAGTTTAAAATTTTGTAAAAAGCCAATTAATAAATGAAGACAATAAATTTATAAAAAAGACATTAATTTAAGAAATTCACTATGCTTTCATAGTTCAACATCTTGATTCGCCGTGTTCATATCACGTGTCCCCAAGTGATCTCATCTCACGTAAACTACGCTACAAAAATCTGAATTCTCTCAATAACTATCTACATTAAATTTCAAGTTAAAATCTTAATTTGGAATACAAGTTTAAATGCAAGAATTATTTGAATTCGTACGAATAGCTTACTCAGAAATTATGCAAGACCACAGTGCTTTACTTCCCTAGTGCATTCACATTAGAATTGATTAATTTAAACCTTGACTTTGTCTTTTATATATTTTGCCGTTTGGGTGAGCAGTGTGATTGCATTCTAACTGAATTAATTACCGCAGATGGCCTGAAGGTATAAAATTTGAACTATCTGGTAAACATTTTATGTAATTATATGCCAGTATTGAAAGAAACAAATCAATCTGATAAGAAATGGGTGACTTGTTTTGAAAATTAGGCGTAAAAGGTTACCAGTGAGGATATTCTGTTTGGCAAGTTTTTATTCATTTCATCCGCTAAATAATTTTTTTCATCTGTATCATAATCAAAACATTTGTGCAAAATATGCAAGATGAGATTGTATTCCTAAATTTTTAAGGAATGTAAATGAGATAAATATAGTTTAAATTTTATGTACTGAAAATTAAGTATAAAAATTATCACATGGGGTGTAGTTAATGTGTAGCTTTAATAAATAAACTAAGGTTCTTTAGATATAGTTTTGTAGTGTTTAGTGTTGGAATTGTAAGATTTTTCATATACACTGGTGTACTTGGAATGATGTACAGTATTGTAACACATAAGAGTATACCAAAGAGCTAAATATATATGGCTCAAATAACATAAGAAATATGATATCTTTTAAATCCTGTATGTATACTACAGTATTATTGTATGCTGTTAGTGAATGGTTAATTAGAATTTAGTGGAGTAAATTCTGTTCCTCAAAAATTTTGCCATGTGATAGCTCTTCTGAAGGTGTTTCACATATTCTGTGTAGCATTCAGATTGGAAGATTTAATTAATCATTTGCTTATTGTCTTTGGTTGCAAGAAATTTTTTACCAGCTTTCTTCAGTGGAGGCACAGTTTAATTCCAAAGGGAGGAGTATCTGGAGAAATAGATAGATCCAGGGGATCAGGAGAATCACTGGCCACAGGAACCGCAGATATTTGAAGCTTCAAAGAACGCAGGCTTCAGTTGGTCTATTCCCAGAACAGTTTCCTTGTCGCACACGAGAACAGTGAAGTGTTTATTGTTACCTGCACAGACTTTGAAGGGTGCATCGTATGGAGGCGTGAGTGGCGATTTTACCCCATCGTTTCGCACAAACATGTGAGAGTAAGTGCTAAGTGCAAGGTGTACGAAAGAGGCTGATTTGTTGTGGCAAACAGGTACATATCTTTCTTGGTCAGGAGCAAAGAAACCTGCAAGACTGGATTTCTTTGCTCCTGATGACGAAGGACCGACCTGTGCCTGTTTATTTTCAAAATCTATTATCTGACTAAATCTACGCCAAACTGACAAGGTTGTTGCGTTACTGATTTTAAATATTTATATTAATTGTGATTTGAATTTTGGTGTAACATGTTTAAATATATACGTAGATTTCCCCCCCCCTCATTGATCTTAAACAGTTGCTTGATTTCAGTTTCCGTATTGATCTGTAAGTAAAATCAACAATAATCTTAAGATGGGGGTGTAGTATCTGTCAACTGTCTGGTAATCAACAAGGCGGGCTTGGTGCGTTTTTCTTCTTTTCCCAAGAGGTTGCTAGATTTAAAGGAGTTGAATTATTTCTGCAGAGGAGCGAGGTGCTTGCTTTTTTTTTTTTTTTATGCTGTTAGAGCAGTGTTCAGCTGTGAGTTAAATTATTTACTTTAGTTTTTTTTAATAAATATTCTGTTCCATTTTGTTAAATGGTGCCTTTTTAACCACAAAGCCATTACAGCTTGTATTTGACTTAAGATGACTAACTACAAGCCAGACTTGACCAAATTGACGTCACAAGCTTAACGTTAAAGTAACCATTGATGGCGAAGAGAAAAATAAAGTTCATTCAGTTATGTTTTTTTTTTATAATAATTAGAATTAGGCCCGGTGGCGCAGTGCTAACGTGTTGCACAGCAGCACCACAGGTCCAGGGTTCGATCCCTAAGCTTGGCAAGGTTAACTCAGCTTTTCATCTATTGAGTGGGTCGAAAAATGAGTACCAAGTTTGCTTGGGAACTAAACACTGGGAGTCCTGTGACAAGCTGACCACTTGTCCAGGGCATATGCTCATGCACCCCATGGCCAATGGTCAGGAAAAGCAGATATTGGGGCATTACAGGCCTTAACCCACTAGAGCTGTTGCACCACTGAGTTTAGTTTACAATTAGTATTTTAATTTTTATGTTTAAAACCTATTGTAATTATGTTTTCAGTAAAATTTATCTCATTATTCACTGCAAAAGACTGTTTTAAAATGAAAATACTACTGACCCGAAATCCCTTTTTAATACTAAAATTTTGGTTGATTCTGATTGCAGCCAAGAGAGGTTACTGATACTACAGACAACAACAGAAAATAACAAATATCGTTATAAATTTTTCGGGTGCATGTACATAAGAGTAAAATGTCAAGGGAAGTTGTTGATCAATATTTATTATTATATGTACTGAAAATCCATACCAGATTTGTACTATAAATCTTAACTATTATATTTGCATTAAAAATGAATGAACATCAATAATTTCATCCTAATTACTAGTGGTGATATGAGCTACTTGCTTGCCATTTTCTTAGCTTTCCAGTGTGTAATATAATGACCATCAACTTTTTTTAATATGTTGCACGGAAGCCTTTTTATCAGGTAGACAACCAATGTACACTTTATTGATCTAATTATTTGCTTATCTACTATATTGTAAGATGAAGGGGAACTGATGTACTTTTTATAAGCTTATTAAGTTTTGATGAAAAGATAAAAAAGTTACTTTTAATTGATTTCATACTGTTATAAAATTAATGCTCAATGTAATTGATTTATTATAAATTTCTATGACCTTAATTATGTATATATATAACATCTTCTGATTTATCCATATATCAGAATTTATATATATATATTGTTTGTGAATGCGTATATATGCAATTCTTTTCCCCTCCAGTAAACTATGATGACCACTTCTATGTTATAGCAGTTTCAAACAAGAAAATACATGTTGTGAAAAGATCTTACAATGAAACAGAGCTTATATGAAATTTTTATTTCAATTATGTATATATTTGCTTCTTTGAATATCATCTACTATGTAATTCAGGAAAATGTAAATAAAATTGTCAATAAAAAATTGTATTTATATATGTGTTTTCTATATCTGATTCTCTTTACTGTGTTAAATGTTAAAATAAAGATTTTGTAGAATCATATCCCCCCCCTGCTTATAAGATTATTGGATTCTCAATTAAAACATTTTTATGTAATTTAACATTCTGTTGTTAAATATGATTTATTTAAAGCAAATGTTTTTCCAAACCAGTGAATAATTTGTAAATATTAAAAAATAAATAAAATAATATTTCTATCCAGTGATTTTTCAACACTAGTTCAAATACTCTAAGCATATGTTTGCATAAGTTACATAACTTTTGCATCAGCAAAATTTATAACTTAGCAAATTTGAACAATGAAAAAAAAATCTGAGCTTACCCTTGGATTTACGAAATCTATGACACTTTTAATGCCAAAAAAAATTCGATGACCGAAAATACGCGATGATTTATTTAATCTGGTTTTAAAATGGGTCATTTTAAGTTTGGCTATATCAACAACTTATATTACTCAGTATTGTTGGATAGTGAATTTGTAATTCTTTTTCATTCTTGAAATATATACACATGACAGAATTGGAATAAAAATTTTAGGTTTTTCAGATGAACTCATAGATTGAACTAATTTGTTGAATTTTATCAAGTAGTTCTTAAAAATACAACCAACGATTAATTAAAACCAACTGCAATTCAAATGGATACTCTTTGTCAAAAAGGAGCAGTAGAACTTATTTTAAACATTCAGCAATAAATAGTTTTCTGAATATATTTTTTAGCGTAACGGCAGTTTCAAACATAATAAAGAGAACAACATTCATTCTAATGAGGATAATTTTGAAAATAATTCACATTAAAATATATCTCAAAGAGATTTTTAAATGAAAAGATGACACAAAAGAATTATTCTCAAAAAATACATGTTATCTCAGATATAGAAGAAATTTGGCATTGAGCTGAGTATTGAAATTAATATATGCAACTGACGTATCATTACTAATATTTCCATGATTTGATATTGAATGCTATAACTATTAAATATTAGCAAATGCATTTTATAATGAACTTTGCACCAAAATTTATAGTAAATTTATATGTAAATTTACATTGTAAGTACTAGAATGAATGTTGTACCATTTTATTAATATTTTACTTTTCAACAAGCATAAAGGAAAAATAGAATTTTTTTTCTTTAATGTTCCTAGTATGTTACATCATAGTTAAAAATATGTCAAAGTCATGGCATTTCGATTATTGCCTTTTGTAAATGTTGGTTATAATGTAACTTAATAGATGCTTTATAAGTTGGTAAAGACTGTCCTGGATTAAAACTATCTTTAACACAAAAAATAATATACATTGAATACTTTTACAAATATGTAATTGCTATCCGACTATATAATCTTTTAAGGCGAACTTATCGCATGTATTAATGAAATAATATTCCATTTTTAATGTATGTTAAGTTATTTTGTCGAATTTTTTAAATATATTACATTTATTTTTTCTTTTTCGTTGAGATTAATAATAACATACATAGTGTAATAATGCTCTGAAAAATATTCTAAAGCAGTTCACGCTGGGATTAATGATAACATGTATGGAATAATAATGTTACATCTGTCAACAAAATGAAAAATATGAATATTCTAACGCGATATGTTTTAAAAGATACATAAATATTTAACATGAGAAATTATTAGACTATAGATAGAACATTAATATTAAGCTTATTTGTTTTTAAACTAACATATTAACAAATTTGTTTCTGTTTATAAATATGAGCAGTTTAACTGCAGACACCTGCAGATGTAACGAATAAAAGTTGTTATTTTACTAAATGGAACACAAGCTCTGTGATTTGAACTCTAACAATAATTCAACACAGGTTTATTTAGGAGCATTAGAATTATAAGCTAAACATTAAAAGAATTTAATTATAGATAGTGTAAAGAACATAACAAATACATTACATAAAATTAGTAAAATACACGTCAAACACTATTTCGAACTTACCTCGACCATAGCAAAAATAATGGCTAACATGGCGACTATCGTTGAACTCTCCCGCTAAGACGCTGTTTTTCCACCTTCTTCCTGATTGGTTCTTCTCTCTCAGCCGTTTTAAGCCACGTGATCACACGCTACGGACAAAATCCAAGCAAAACTTCTTGAAAAATTCCTGTAGAGTTTACAGTTTCGTTTGGTTCTGTGTTCGTTACAGGTATTTCCTTCGTAATTGTTCGCATTTCTGTAACTATACAAGACTTTTGTCTGTAAACTTCGAGGTTTTTTTTTTACAGTGCATTTTAGAATTTTTATTCTTTTTCAAAAAACTATTTCTTAATCTAAACTTTCGGTTCGTAAAATTTCACATGTCTTTCAGATTGCCGTTTTCAAAACTGCAATATATTCCAAGTAAATTCAGCGATTTTCTCATACACTAAATTTTCCAGAATGATTGCTTGAAACAAATACTGCATTGGAAACATATAATGCTTAAAAAAAATTGTTATAAAAAATAACAATACATTCATTTCACCAAGAAGCTTTTCTATTTAAATAAATTTATTTATTTTCAAAGAACAAGTTTCTGTATTTTACATACAATATACTTAAAATTTTCATTGATTAGTTGATATCAAGTTTAGAGCAATATCCATTTACTGACATTTGATATACATGTTTGTTTTTCACCAAGAAGCTTTTCTATTTAAATAAATTTATTTATTTTCAAAAAACAAGTTTCTGTATTTTACATACAATATACTTAAAATTTTCATTCATTAGTTGATATCAAGTTTAGAGCAATATCCATTTACTGACATTTGATACACATGTTTGTTTTAAAATTAAAATAAAAATTTCAATATATTTCCATAAAAAATATTAGAAAACCAAAATAGACATAACATCAGTCAAACACAGAAATTTATATGAAAAAGCTGTACTTATATCAAAGCATTTTTATAATCTTCATAACATTTAGATTAAAAAATTATGTCATGAAATGAGCAAATAATTTTTTTCTGTCTTAAAGAATCTATTACATTTTTAAAATTTATACATAAAAATACATCTTCATTAATATGCTTAATTCTGTCATCAACACTTATTGTAATGCATTTATGTCTTGTTTGTGAAGGATGATCTATAATACATTCCTCACATTTAAACAGTTTTGAATCACTGAATTTAATTCAGTTTTGATAGAGTTTATGGATTGTATGAAAAGTTTATCATCATCATTTGTTTCATCCGAACAATAATTTTTACATCTGATTTGCAAGAGTAAAATGACTTCAAAAATACATTTATATTATTTATACATTTATATTTTATTTATACGTTTACATTTGACACATCAGGAATAATTTCTTTCAATCTTTTAAAGTATCATAGTCTAATTATAAATAAGTAGGTTTTAGTTTAAAGGAATATTCATCCTGTTTAAAAACTTGTTGTAAAATGCACTCACCTCCTTTGTTGAAAACTATCAACTCATTATTGCAAATGAGACTGGCACTTGTATACACAAAATTGAATTGATATATTTTGGAAGAAAATTCTTGCCATGTAGGGGGAGTCATAACAACACCGCGTGTAGTAGGATACAAGTTTTTGTTTTGTTCCACAATTTCACGTAGATGAATGTTCACTCTGTTTTCGAATTAAATCCGGTCTCCTGCACTAGTTTGTCTCATTGGGTGGCATGTACCACTGGTGGCCCGAACTAGTCTGTCTTATCGGGCGTCTCGTGCCATCGATGAAATGCATTCGATTCTGTTATTAGACGCTGAAAATTAAAAGAATGAAAAATTAACGTTTATTTATTATAAAACCTTTTTAATAACAATTATAATTAATAACTATTAGCAAACTTACAACTCGTATACAGGTCTGAGCAGGTAATAATCACACGCCGCCAGATGAAATGCGGCAAAAATTCTAGCATCGTCTTACGGCGAAGAACATTAAAATTGGCCGTGCCGTGAACGTATTAAACCATATAAAAGGCGTTTCAGAAATGGAAGAAGTCAGTTCTATCTTGACAACTGTGAAAAGAGCGAGTCTTCCTAATAATTTGATCTACAAAGTGTAATATTTTATGATGGATTTCGAACAAGATCAGCAATCTGTTTCTTCCAATGTAAGTATTAGTACTGTTATATATTATTTTAATTATTATTATTTTTTTTTTTTCAGACTAGATGAACTTAACATTAGTTGCTTTCAAAATGAATTATAATCAATCTATTTTTAATGCATGATTTATATGTTTGCTTCAAGTATGATTTGAATTAAAAGAGCTTTTAATGGCCTGCTTTTTACATAGTTTAAAGTTCACAAAAATTTTTTTAAAGCATTTGTAATCATTAGTCTGAAGGAAATCAGTCGAGTTTGTATATCGTTGCATGATATTTTTAATGCATGAATGAACTATTTTTTTAAATGAGAAAATGCTTTTATTTTGAATCTTTATTTAACTCTAAAAGTATATTTATTATAAGATAATGAATGAAGTATCAAATACTGTTAAACAGTTATCATTTTTGAATATTCTAAAAAATATTTTTTATTAACACAGTTTTTTCCTTTTTTCCCCCCTTAATTTATCGACTTTGGAATTCAGGAGGAGGAATTCAACTCTCTCTAACTTCTGAAAGAATGGAACCTCAACCAAGTACAAGTAGAAGAGAGGTAATTTTTTTTCTTTTTAATAGTGACTTGCAGATATAGTTATTTATTCAATGGTTCTCTTTCCCTTCAGTCGTTGTTGTATAATGTGTGATTATTAGGAAAAAAAAAGTAGTGAGAGAGATTTTAAATGCTAAACTAAAATTCTTTAAACGTAAAGAGTTAATACTAAAAAAATTTTTAAATGAATTATGTAATTAAAATTTTTTAGTGAGGGATAATTAAAAATTAGTAATTTTATAATGAGGAAAGCATGCATATTGAAAGTCCGCTTTTTTATCTTTCACAGGTTTGCGACATATGTGGTAAAAGTTTTTAGTAAAAAGAGTAATTTAG